TGGTACAATCTTGTTGGGGGAAATATATGGAATCCGGTCCATCAACCGGAGGACAAACTGTAAATAATATAAAATTGTTTATTGCATTATTAGGTAGTATGCAGAGTTTAAGATCAACGTTATAATTTTAGATTAGGACAGATTTATTTGTTTTATATTATCTTTCCCCTCGTATTTTTTTCGATTCCTTATGTTCTGTTCACTTCTTCAATAATTTGTTGTGTGGATATGTTATAATAATTTTCTTGTTATAGATACTTTTTATAACTGTTTATGGACATACGGTTAACATTAAATAACGATATATATTTTTAAGGTTATGGTCTATTATGCCTTATGTTCTAGTATCAATATCCTTATTCAATATTATATTAAACTTTCACATAATTTATTAAAAATTATTAGTGTTAAATTTTGATAAGATCTTCAGCTTAGTTTTGATGATATGAAAACATATAGAGTATTGATAGAAGAAAAAAAATTATTCTGGACCACGATCTTTAAAACAATAAATAAGACTATATACCACATTACGAAAAAGACTTATATACTTACGAAAACTTTCAAGTAAGCAAGAATTTTGGTCTCCATTATCATCGCTAGACGGATTAACAATTTCTCCTTCACAGCCTGCTGCGAATGGATAATCACAAACGTTCAATTTCGAATTGAAGTGTAGACCTGACGAGCAGTTATGTACGTAAGGAACGCCGTTTGAACATTGATAAAATTTTGAGCAGTCTTCGTGGGGAAAGTAAACGGAGTCTGGACCATCAACCTTCGGGCATTCTGTAAAATGAGAAAGTACTAAAAACTAGCTGTATACCACGTATAACAAAAAGAGTTAATCTTTGTAAAAAATCTTTTTTAAATAAATATACCCATTTACCAAAGATTAACCTCTTCTTTTTTTTTACTGACCAAACGGAGATAAATTAAAAAAAAATTGAACCTTTTTATTTATCTCTTTTGGACAGTATTTAGCTTGGTGGGAGAATCTTAGCCAGGAACGTGCTCCGGGTCCAGAGGGGATATATGCAGAGTTAATAAAAAATGGAACCAACAAACTATTCGAGATACTAACAGAAGTTTTCAACAGGCACTTGCACGGAGAACCAGTGCCACAAAGTTGGAAAGAAGGATGGATTACATATATCCATAAAAAAGGAATACAGAATCATAAAGCTTAAAAAAAATTGAAAATGTGCTACTTGTTTACAATTCATAAATTTTATCAATGGTGCATTTGTGATCTCTGCAGTATTTGTTTGGTATGGTAAATAATAAAAGCATGACTAAAAGCATGCCAAAAAAATTATATCGACATTTCTGCCAATTTTTATTTGTCAATATTTTCGCCTTTCGGGACTTCCCCGTCCACGTCATTTCGTCTGTGAGTAAAACCCCTTTAGCTGAGACTGTATAATATGTTGTTTGTATATGTGAGATTTTTTAGTCGTTTAGTGTTGCTTTTCTGTTTATATATGAATATACCTATATGAAACTTGTGGATAATAATATGACTATAGCGGAATTTGTGAATTTAATTAAAATGACAAAGCCAAAACCAAACCGTAATCGAATGGATAAAGGAATATGAAGAGTTAACATTCGAACATGGTAAATTATTTTGTAGAGCATGTGTCCCAAACACGGTAAGTTTTATTTTAAAAATTATCCATATCCATAGGGTGTTTCCTTAATTAAGCCAAAAATTTTAGTTAAGTTTTCTACTTATAGATCATACAAATATGTGTTCGAGTTTCTACCGAAATTCAGGGTGCTAAAGTTTTATGATTATTTTCGTTTTTTGTATGTTATATTTGAAAAGTCAATATTTGGATAAAAATATTTTGTATTTGAGTTTATTTTGACGTGCAAAATTTAAATATGACCTTAGTATTGGGTTGGTTGTGGAACTTCTATTGAGTTTCCTTTTGAACACTTTTAGCTATGGGACGTAAGTTTTATTATGTTCTTCTAAATCAGATATTAAAGTTCCACATTTACTTGCTGATATTGAGTCAATGATCAGACCACTCAATGATTGTCAAAATGGTATTGTTAGATCTAAATGTACGAATGTTATTACCAACTTCTCACATACAGAAGTAGTAGATCATCACCATTCTCAGCATATTCTATCAATTATTGTGTAGCTTTCCTTACATACTCATTCTTTATATCTGTCCTTCTTCTTCTTAACATGCCATACACCAAAGTGCGTAGGCGACTATCTCACTAGTAGAATTCTGTTCTTGGCGGCGTGACATAGCTCGCCTGTATTGTGTATTCCTGTCCATTCTTTAATATTCTTTAACCAGGATAATTGTTTGCGGCCGGTTCCTCTCCTATCTTCGATCTTCCATTGTAGGATTAACTGTGGTATTTCATATTTTGCTTCTCTCAATATGTGCCCAAGGTAACCAATCTTGCGTTTTTTAATTAATTCAAAGAGTTCTCTTTTCACGCCGGCTCTCTTAAGGACGTCATCGTTTCGAAACTCTATCCACCCAAGGTATGCGCATCATCCTTCTCAATGACCACATTTCAAATGCCATAAAGCCATACGTGAAGTTCACATTCAAACTTTACAACAACTAAAAATTTAGTTATTGCTGACAATTCAAAGAATTACTTCATTTAAATGTAGTTTACATTGGGTTTTTCGATTGTCCTTGGGTAAACCTTTGCGTTTTAAGTTCAAAGCTACCATACATTTCCAACGTTAACAAATAAACTTTTTTGCACATAGTAACAAAAAACACCACTATGTTGTTACTAGCTAAAGTTTTTTTAACATCATAACTCGACATTTCTAAAATTTCACGGTAAGTTAATGTTTTTTATTAGATAATATATGGTAGCTAATTATAATTTATTCTCTTTCAGCCCTGAAGAAGCCAAATTAATTCTCTTTGGCGAAAACGTTAGGTGAAATAATTGATACACATTAGAGTTTTTTTGCAGATTTCCCCAATATTTAAGAGTTTACTATATATATATATATATATATATATATATATATATATATATATATATGAACTATGAAATAAAAGACTAAATACTAAAGCGTAAAAAGAAATCCAAGGAAAAAAATTAATATAAATTAGTAGACTAGAACATACACACAAAAAACAAGAAATGTGAAAATAAAAAGGGTTGTAAACATGTATATTAAAAAGAAGAAAACGATTTTTCTTTAAAGTTACGTATTTTTTATTATTCTTTGATCAATTAAATATACGTTACTTACCTACATTAGCCAATCCAGACTTGACACTAACACAAAAAAATAATAAAATCAGAACTGGAACCATCTTTCTACTATACAAGCAAAAACTAGGTTCAAATCTAAAATTTTCTATTGATGAAGAATGAGTGTCTCCTTTTATATTAGCAAATATCTATTCAGATTAAAGAAGATCCGATAAATAAAAAAACACTAAAAGTTAATTCTGTTTTCCGTTCTAAAGTCGCCAATATTTTTCTCGAAAATAAAATACCGATTACGGTTTATCCTGTCACATGATATCGGGGCAATAAATTATTATAACGTTGTGCAGTGACAAAGATTGCAATCATTCAAAGGTTTTAGTGAAATAATTATTGTATTATTTTCATATCAAATATTTGTTTGTCAATCCTACTTTCCTTGATTTTTTTATAATGCTACGGCTTAGTTGTTTACGGATAATAATGCAAATCTAATCTTCAGCAGGTGTTGTTGGTATTAACAAGAAACCCTGTTATTCACTTACATTATATTTTTTTTCTCCTAGCTTCAGATTCGAGATTACTTTTAATTAGTCCTATTTTAATATTAAATGTTGATTGAATAGTAATGCGCAAATTATAGCTCCGCTATTCAATTGTCAATCTTGCCCTTGGCATGCGGAAGATCTAATAAAAAATGCTCCTATATTGGGGTTGGTCAGAGGAAACCACTAACTTACACACAACCAAACTTATAAAATATGTAATCACCATGTTTTACAAACCAATAATTATTTCTTTTAAAAAAACTTGATATTATTGCAAAGAATAAAGTTTTTTATTGAAAATAAACAAACCAATAAAACAATCAGATAACACAGCCCAGCACGGTATAGATTATTTGTTTTAGTTGTAAATTGAACCAAAATAAACAAACTAACTTTCGCTTTGAAAATCGAAAATATGTCTTATGTGGAGTTAACGGATGTGCAAAGGAGAAAGATTATTGGTCTTGTTAAATAAGGAATGTCTCAGAGGGACATAGCTGCAGTGGTAGGCGTAACACAGGTCGTTGTGTTAAAATCCTATGCTAGGTATCAGGAGTTAGGAACGCTTAAGAATAGACAAAGATAAAGTTGCCAAAAAGTAAACAACTCCGCCTGTGGTGACTAATGGGTGGATTGAATAGCTCAGGAGTCACCATTGCCGGTCCTAAGCCCGGGTAAAGGAGAAAGGTTGGGCAGTGGGCTAACAACCCACTCCCGGAAAAACACACTGTTATGAAACCTAAACATTTGCCTCGGAACAAGGGGAACTATCGGAAACGACTAAAGCTACGAAACATGGACTATGCATTTGGAAGTTGGAATGTGAGGACGCTAAATAGACCAGGAGCTGAAACTGCACTTCTACAAGAATTAAAAAGATATAATCTTATGATCACTGCTCTTCAGGAGACAAGATGGCTGGGGAAAGGCGTCAGGGACACCAAAACGCACACAATTCTATATAGTGGCAAAGAACAAGGAATCAAAGAATGTGGAGTTGCATTTGTGGTAGATAATGATTTTAAGTCAAAAATCATAGACTTCCAGGCAGTGAATGAAAGGATATGCAAACTAAGAATTCGCACCCACTTCTTCAACCTTACTATGATAAACATCTACTGCCCAACAGATGAACAAGAGCAACATATAAAGGAAAGCTTCTACCAACAGCTGGAGATAGTATATGACAACGCGCCAAAAAATGACATTAAGGTTATAATGGGTGATATGAATGCCAAAATAGGCAAGGAACCGCAGTTCTATGGCACAACAGGAAAACACTCACTGCACAATGAAACAAGCGAGAATGGGGAGTTTTTGATAAATTTAGCCACCAGTAAAAACATGGTTATAAGCTCCACATGCTTCCCACATAAAGACATATACAAAATGACGTGGATCTCACCAGATGGAACCACAACCAATCAAATTGACCATGTGATGATAGACAAAAGGGCAGCCAGTAGTATCTCTGATGTGAGAACACGACGAGGAGCATGCTGTGGATCAGACCATCTTTTACTGCAAACCAAATTTAGGTGCATAGTTAACAGAGAAAGAAACGAAAGACAACAAAGAACAAACAAACTAGACCTGGAAAAACTGAAGACTCAGGAATGTAGAGAGAAGTTCGAGCAAGAAGTCACAAATGAGCTAAGGACACAAGAACTGCACTCCATAGAGAGCAAATGGAATAATATCAAAACAGCAGTGCTGACAGCAGCAGCGTCCACCGTGGGAAACAAGAAAAAGAAGAGAAGAGGAACATGGTTTGATGACGAGTGCAGGCAAGCGATAGAAGAAAGAAACGAAGCGCACAAAATGTACATAACAAGAAGAACACGGGAAAGACGAACATCATTTGAAGTCGCAAGACGGAAAGCAGACAAGATATGCAGAAACAAAAAGAGAGCTTATGAAAATGGACAAATAGAAGAAATGGAACAAAATTTCAAAAAAAAACGAAATTAGAGGAGCTTACGAATACCTAAAAAAGATAAAAAGTGGATATAAACCTCAAACAAGCCTATGCAAGATGAAAGTGGGCAAATAATCAGTGACCAACAGAAAGTCACAAAAACCTGGAAGCATTATTTTCAGACCCTACTTGGAACACAAGTAGATATGGAAGATGAAATGGGTACGAACCATGTAGAAGAGAACGAAGTTGAAGTAGAAGCTCCAACCATAGAGGAAGTTCTCGAAGCTATTAAGGCCCAAAAAAACAATAAAGCCCCGGGAGTTGACGAGATTCCAGCAGAACTGTATAAGGTAGGTGGCAACCACCTATCAAGTCATATCCACGCGCTTATCAAAGAAATATGGCAAGAAGAGAAAATACCCGACGAATGGAAGAAAAGTATAGTATGCCCAATCTATAAAAAAGAAGACAAACTCCAATGCAAAAACTATCGTGGAATTTCTCTACTATGTACAGCGTATAAAGTCCTCACGTATATTATAAACCAGCGACTCCAACCACTAGCAGAAAATATTATTGGAGAATATCAGACGGGCTTCAGACGGGAAGATCGACAATGGATCAAATATTTACAGTCAAGCAGGTCTTGAGCAAATCGTGGGAACACGACATTGATGTTCACATTGTGTTTGTAGACTTCAAACAGGCATACGATTCAGTCAAAAGGGACAGACTATACTATATATTGGCAGAATTAGCAATACCACATAAGCTAATTAGACTCATTAAAGCCACAATGGATGAAACTCAGGCATGTGTACGAATACAAAACAACCGGACAGACTTTTTCAAAATCTCGCAGGGACTAAAGCAGGGAGATGGGCTGCCACCAACATTGTTTAACCTGGCACTGGAGTATGCGGTCAGGCAAATGCAAACTGGACGAGAAAACCTACTGACCAATAAAACGGTTCAACTGGCTGCCTACGCCGATGATATTAATATTATGAGTAGAACATCAACAGGAGCACAGGAAGCATACGCAGAGTTAAAAACACAAACGAAAAGGCTAGGTCTGGAAATTAACACAGAAAAAACAAAAATAATGGTACAGACGAGAAGAAATATAATCCCACAAAACATTATACATGAAGATGACATTGAAACGGTTGGAAAGTTTACATACCTGGGAGTAGAAATATATGTCGATGGAGCAGAGGATGGAGAAATACGAAAAAGGATAACGCAGGCAAACAAAGCTTATTTTGCCCTCTCCCATATATTTCGGTCTAAAAGTGTCCACCGAAATACAAAGATGAGAATATATAAAACTTTAATTCGGCCAATAGCATGTTATGGCAGCGAAGCATGGGTCCTGAAAGAAACATCCAAAAACAAACTCGACACATTTGAAAGAAAAGTACTGAGGAGAATACTAGGACCTATGAGGGAAAACGGAATCTTCAGAATTCGATATAACAACGAGCTCTATCAACTGTATAAGGAAACACCCCTGTCAAACTTCATTAGAATACAAAGATTGCAATGGGCCGGACATGTGATACGAATGGGAGAGGATAGGCTACCAAAACGAGCACTGAACGCCAGAATGCAGGGAAAGAGACCAGTTGGAAAGCCAAGAAAGCGCTGGGAAGACACAGTAAGCAGCGACGCACAAGCACTTTTAGGAGTCCGTGTATGGAGAAGAGCAGCCACAGACAGACAAGGGTGGAGGCAAAAAATAAAGGAGGCCAAGGCTCATTTTGGGCTGTAGTGCCGTAGAAGAAGAAGAACAACGGCTTGCCACGATCGTTTAATTGAATTCTGTTTCTTCTTCAATATTACCCTATTTAATTGTTTAAATTATCGCACCATCTTTTTCTTGGTCGGTCAATACTTCTGCGTCCATTTGGTGACTTATCTCGTGCTATTCGTACTATCCTATATTTTGTCATTCTACTAATGTGTTTGTTCCACTCCTGTTTCCGTTTTGTCACCCATCCATTTATGTCTTCTATAAATCATGCTCCTCTTATTTTTTCGCTTCTCTCCTTATCCAACAGACTTTTTCCTGATGTTCGTCGGAGTATTTTCATCTCTGTTGTTTCTAGTAATAATCTCGTTTTAAATGTGTCAGGTCTTGTCTCCGCCGTGTGTGTTGATATAGGTCTAATTACTGCTTTATGAATTCTTGTTTTTGTATCTTGCCTTAGGTGTTTGGTCTTCTAGATTTTGTCATTAAGAGATCCCACAGCTTTACTTGCTTTTAAGCATTGCTGTTGTACTTCTTCTTCAAAATCTCCGTAACTACTTATATATAAATATAATATAATAACATTACATTTATAAAATACCTTGTGAATGCGATCAGTTTTATTTAGGTGAATCATCAAGGCCATTAAATGTTAGAATAAGTGAACATCAATCTTATATTAAAAATAAAGAATTTAATAAATCTCAAATCTGTAAACACGCATGGGATAATGAACATAGGGTTCAATGGTATAATTCAAATGTAGTCCTAAAAGAAACGGATGGTAAAAAAAGAAAAATCAAAGAAGCGGCTCTAATTATGCTAAATGAGGCTATATATATATATATATATATATATATATATATATATATATATATATATATATATATAAATATATATATATATATATATATATATATATATATATTCCCATATATGAGGCGGTGAAAGGAAAAGTAGTGCAAATCACCTTTTTTTATAGAATAGAGATAATTGCATATTCAAAATCTCCATATTTAAATCTATCAGACGCAACAGTG